ATAAAATAATTTAAAGAGAAATAACTGAATAAAAAGATTTAAAATTGAATGTAATACAATTAAGCGAGTATAATAATTGAATCTTTCCGATTGATGGAAATAAATTGATAAATAACGCAGTAAAATGCATATTTTAAATGAGCAGATTGAATTATCGGAATGCCAGGATTGGTATGCCACTGAAAGGGAAACAAAGCAGTTGCAATTTCCTCAGTATACAGTTTTGATTTACTCCTACAAAACCTACAAACCAACACAACTTTCAGGTGCATCTTGCAATTTACTTGGTTTTGATTAGATTTTCCAGTAACCGAAAATTTCCCCAAGGCCAAAGCCAAGATCGAATTGTGAATTTGTGGAGAATTAATTAAGTTTAAAGCTCGCATCGTGCTGAAAGCTAATTTTAACCCACAGCAAAGGCGAAGTAAATCGAATCGCAATGAAATAAAACCGAATGCGAACCGCAACGAATTGATTTGAGCGATTTGTGGATAGAATGGGTGGTGGTAGAGGGGGTTGGGTAAGGGGATAACGCTGGAAAAGTGGCAGCAAAAAATGTTTGCCTGTAAAATGCAATTGCAATTTGGCATGACCAACTACGCATGCTGTGCAACAACATGAACAGCAGCTTTCGAAAAAAAAACCAACAACCAAACAGCAAGTTCCGAAAAAGTAATAATAAATAATTGCCCAATGAGAGGAGTGAGTTGGAAGCGTCCTCGTTTCTCTGCTAATTGGAGGAAACCAAATTATGAGCACAACTTGGGAAGCCGGGAACCCTTCGCTCAAGGTGAATTGCTCTTGCCGGCAGGGTGAAGTTTTCCCTCTAATTGCGGAAAGGCACTCATAAAAAGCCCCATCAAGTTTCTGTTAAGCGGCAAGCAATTGTCACAAGAAGTCAACCCCGGGTTATAGATAGCAAATGGGTATGTACCCACCATATGCATGTACTTCCCCACTTCGCACCATATAAACATATGAAATTCGCACACCATCAATGGCGAATATGAAAGGTTAATAAAAACCAAGCCAAGAACGTGCGAAACGAAGGCGTTGGCACCTGGCAAAAGGTTTCACTTGCCAGTTTTTTATGGGTTTCGGTGAAAAAACTTTGCTTTTCGGAGGGGGAGATAGCAAGTTGATTTCGTTCTCCAGGGGATTCCCCAAAGAAATTGACGCTAAGTTCTTTAGTCAATTTGTGGTGGCAAAGAAATTGCTCATTTCTTTGCTTATTAGATTGAAAGTCTGACAAAGATTGATAAAAATATAATAAAAAAGTAAAAAAACTAAAAATTATTATTTTTTGAAGATGTTTGCAGTCACTTCGGAATTCGAATTACTGAATAAATTAAAAAAATCATCTTTTATGATTTTCACATAATTAAAAAGTTTCTTCACCGATTTTGACAGGCCAAAACTTCTCTCGCATTTGAATTAGCTGTCGAAAGCTTGGCAGACTTTATCGATTAGTCAGCCTAATCAGCGTCAATGATTGATAATGGTCAAGTTAGTTCTCTTGCCTTATTGATGAGCTCATTGGAACCTGTTTCCCCGAATCTCAGACAATTTCTGGCCAGTAAAAGCCAGAAACCAAAGCCCCAAAGGAGAATGTCAAACGCAGACTCCAAACCGCAGATTAACTCTGACCCCAGAAAACACACACTTCCCTCTTTTTGAGTGCCGCCACACCCCTCTTTGCTTAATTTCCCTACGCCCCTTTCGCTTATGTTTTTTTCACCCACTTTTCCCACAATTCACACACGGAGTACGAACGAGAGCGTTCTGCAATTAAACGGGGAAAAGAAAACTTTTCCAACAGTTTCCCAGGGAAGCGAAGCCGCAAAAGGATGTCCAGGCAACTGGGTATGTAAATGTGGGTGGTGGGAGTGGTTTCGGTGGGTTCGGGAAGGCGGGAGGCCTTGGGATATGTGGCTAGTTCGGTAAGGCTTCTTTCCGTCTGCTCGGCACGACAATATTGGTACACAATAACCAAATACCAAATGTATTGGTATTATTACTTAAAAATTAGTTAGTATTTCAATCTTAAGTTTTATAAACGTAGGTATAGGGATATGACACATTGATATAATGCATTAGTTTATGAAGATCTTTAGATTTTAGATCTTTCACAATAAAAAAAAATGATATTTGCAGATAATGATTCAATTTGATAATAATAATAAGCTATTTTATTTCCCATAAAATTCGCCTAAATGCTCTTATTATTATAAATAATTTTTCTCAGTGGCCTTGTTGGTGTTTGGACGCATAATTGTAAAGTGGCCTGGTACGTGTCGTTCCTTTCGCTTTTAATTGTATGTGTAAAGTGAAGTGCGGGGGGTTGGGCACACCCCCACATCCACAACCCCCTTCTTTCCATCACCATCCCTCTAGAGAGTGCGTAGTTGTGTATGTGTTGTTAACAACTTTAACATCACTTTGGCGTACCCTCGAACGTATTCATCCGACTTTGCCATTTTCTGTTGTTTGTAGATTTTGTTTGGTGCTGCTGTTATGCTTCAACTTTTATACTAAAGCTAAATATCACACCAAATTTTAAATGCCCTGATAGCATATCTACTGAATACTAAAAACTATTTTAAAACTCAAATAAGTTTTTATTATTCTGCTGGGCTCTTCATTTTGATTTGTTGAATAATTTGGTAGGCGTTTCATCTTTAATTTTCAAGTGTTTTATGGTTTCTATCGCAACTTTTGCATATCTAATAAGCTATGAAAAGATTCCAGCTTTTATTGCTGATTTGTTTAGGGCTCTTTTGCTATGAAACCGAATATGACTGTATATTATTTTCATTTTTTCTTTAAAACCCTTATTTTAACATCTGAAAACATTGTGGCATGTGTGTCATACTTAAAGGTTACAATCGTCCCTTCTCCACATACTTGTACAATATTAATGGCCGGAGTGTTAATTGCTGTTGGTCGGCACTTAACTTAATGAAAACTTGTCCTGTAGGAATTTCCATAGATATATTTGAAGTTTTTTCTGCTCTTATCGAAGCTTTGTGGGGCGAAAATCAATTTTAAATTAGGGCACAATGAGCTCATGTCTCCACGTGGATATCAGGTGATATAGAGGGGTTCCAACCTTAGACAACCACCGCCCACATACATCCAAATCACACACACACACACACACAGGTGCCAAAGGTCAGGTGAACATGGGCTTTCTACACTGAGAAAAATATATTTTTTGCCATATTTTTATGTAATATATGATATGATAAATATATTTTCTATAATAATAAATGATTTTATTTGATTACCTTTCAATTTCTATATTTTTGCAATACTAGGATATTTTTTCAAAGTTTCTTATGTTCCGATTTATTTTTCGATTTATTTTTATGGTTTTTCAGATATGTTTTATATAAAAAACAACTTTTGAACTGTAGGATTTGCATTATAATTGCCATTTTTGCCCTGTGTCCCGATGCCTGGCTATTGAATCGAGTTACATGTCAAAGGAAGCGTCATCCCAGTCCTTTCTGTTGCTTTTGCTTTTGCCTTTGCTGTTGTGGGCGGCAGAAGCGAGTAAACAACAATAAAGCGGCGACAAACAAAAGAGTAGCAACAGCAATAGAGCAAAAAAGAAGGACCCAGGACACCAAGGGGACCGAGGCCCAAAAACAGGAGCAACTAGCAACTTGGAATATGGAAGGACATGACGAATGACGCGTTGCTAGACAATTTTTCAATTTGAATGGCCACCCAACAAACGCAAAAAAAAAATTCAGAAAGAATTGGGGGCCTGAAACTCGAATAGTGAAACGTTTCGGATTTCGATTGGGTTTTCGCATTTGCTCCTCTGGCGGCTGTTTTTTTTCGGGGCAGCCAGAGGATTGGCATCGATAGATGCAACCTGCAATTTGCCGCCTGACTAAGCCAGACGACGGGTTCAAATGGGGGTTATTCCAAGCGGTGTGGAATTTAAGACTGGTGTGTATTGTTCTACCCATGACTGCACTCTGATTTTAGAAAAATTAAGCAGTTTCGCAGTTTTTTAAGTCCCTTTTTCCATAACTTTGGTATGTAGATGCAGTTTTTCTACAATCATAATCTTGGCAAGTTTTTGTTTGGGTTTTCCACAGTTTTTTGTGCGGATATAAAAACCCTTTTAAATATTAATTATTAATTCGCTTAAAAATTCTGTTTGCTTATATGAGAATAAGTTTTAAGCAAATGACTTTTCGCACATCATGCACTCTAAAGCTTTAACCCGCTATAATGAATTCAATCTCGTTTTACGCTTAATTTCCCTGTGTATAAAAAGATTATATTTCTGACCGCATAACCTTATTGGCGATAGAGTTATTCATCAGGGTTTAAAATATATAAAACTTCCAGGTATTTATTTAATTAATTAAACTTTTTTTGTCATTCAATGAAGCCATTTAAGATTCGAAAGCTTTACCTTTTATTTGATTTACCAAATCTAAAATATATTAAAATATAAATTCCTCAGTTATTAAACAAATTTCTCATTTTGCATACATATTCTAGGAACTAGAAACTGGCGCCTAACGCTACCTACCAATTAAAATGCTTTTATATTTAAATTTCTATTCTCAGCTGGAATGATACCTATTGAATAATTCCCTTGAATAAATACATATACTTTTGTCTCACTGCATGATTTTACATATCGGATCTCCAGAATCTAAAAGTTTCTCTCGGGTTATTCGACCTTTTACATTTCTTATTTTGTATTTCTTGGGATTGATGATGTAAGATGTAAGAGATTTCTTTACTAAGATTTTTCAGAATGTATAACATTTGCCTAACAATTATGAATACCTCAAATAGGTAAAAGTTTGTTCTGATATAAACTATTACTAAGAACTCTATTTAATAAGAACTTGGATTAATGCTTTCAGATTATTTATTAAGAAATGTATACTCCTAAAGATCCGTCGACTGAAATAAATTTCCCATTGACCCATTTATAAGAACCCGATTAAAGATCTCTATGGACTTACCGCTTGCCCTTGAAGGCCAGCAGATACTTCTTGTTGGCGGGGAAGTTGTTGGACTGCACGGATCCAGTGGCGCCGGCCCTCAGTGGGAACTGTTTGTGGAAGAGCGGGATGCTGACGTCGAAGCCGTGTCGCAGCTGCAGCACTCCCATGCTGGCCTTGGCCAGAATAGCTTCTCCCGCATCGAATCCCAGCGAGTTCTCCGCATAATCCGGCCAGGTTCCGGAATATAAATTGAAAATAATATGATTCCTCCCATTATTCCAATACGGCAATCGGGCCAATCGGGATGGCACATTGCGAACATAATCCTCGGATAGCGAATCCCGATCCAGGGTATCGATACCCAGCACAAACAAGCAGGCGGCCGTGGGATCATTCGTGTGATATCTCGATTCCTGGATGGCAGTGAGTATCTTTTGATAATTGGCCGAAGTGGGCGGGGCGGCGCCTAAAGAATTCAAGGGTTCCGGTGGATAGATATAGACCAAAAAGCGATCGTAGCAGCGCGTGAAATCGAAACAAGTCTCCATGCGGCAGTCGGGTTTTACGGGTTTACGAGTTAGGATCTTCGGGTTATCCGAACGATTACTTTGGAGCAGCTGGAGTTCCTGCAGATCGGGGGAACCCATCATATAGCTGGGCAACTGCTCGTGCGGTTGGACGCCGCCATCTTTGGCCGATTCGTGCTGGGCTCTACGGGGTCTCAAGGGCGAAACTTTCAGGCGATAGCCCCCGAAATAGGCGTAGGCCAAAAAAGCGCAGGACACAAAGACCAAAATGTAACGCTTTTTGGCCTGCATTTTGTGGGTAGTGGTAGATCCAAAAACTTTAAATCCTCAATAATTTTGATTTTAATTTTAAGATAATTTTTTATTTTTTATAACTATTTTTTTTTAATTTTCCTTGGGAGGCTGCTTGCGTGTGTGTGTGTGAGTGAGTGGGAGAGCGTGCGTGTGTGTGTGTGCGACAGCAGCAGCAACAACAACAACAACACAAATTTACTCTAGTTGTCGCGCATTTTCGATTTTTGTTTATTTACTTGGCCGCTGGTTTGGTTTCTTCTTTTTAGATTCATAGATAACATGGCCTGCATTTGTTGTTATTTGTTACACACACACGACGGCGGTGGCGGCGGCGACAAACACATGCACAACTATACTATATTCACATTTCTTTCGTTCATAATCTTTTATGATTTCTCATTTCCTGGCGCGTTTAACGATTTGCGGGGGGCAGGCGGGGGGCGGCCGGGTTCGATCCTCGCTGCTGGCGAGGAAATGCATCGCGCACACACATTCAGCTCAGTTAATCACTTCATTTTCATTTAGTTTTCGCATTTGTTTAGCGCTCGCGAACAACAGAAACATTAAACAAACACACACAAATCATTTTTAGCAGCTAAAAATCAGACGGCGGTCGCGAGTTGAGCCACACTGGCCGACCGGCGTTTTGCAACACCGAAAGAGAAACTGCAGGAATCACCCTGTGGGCTGCCAGCTCGGGCGCAGAGCGTTATTGTTTGAATTAAAAACTGTAATTTATTTTAAAGTTTTATTCACTGTCAAGGGGTTTATATTGTAGCTCACTAAATTATTTATCTGTTTTCTTTTCCTTATTATTTCCAATGGTCTTAAAGATTTCCACTTTCCTTCTAGTTTTTCCGCTGTTTCCCCCTCTGATAACAACTAAATTGCACAAAAATGCTCGCAAAAAGCGCGACTTAACGTTTTGATAGCTCGGCGTGTACTGGCCAACTTATCACACGGACAAGGACTCCACTGGAATTCTCAAATTTATTGGAAAACTCGGACATGCGCAGTTTGGCGCGCCTAGATTTGTATTCCGAATAATAGGTGGCAACGCCGCGGAAACAGCTGTTGAATTCAAATTTTAAATAATTTTTTTCCATGATAAATCTCTAAGTGAGGGGGCGTTTTGAAGGGGAGTGATTACAAAAAGGGGGGGGGGGGAATCTGTAATCCCCCGGGCGTAATATGTTTACGAAATGTAATTACCACTACAATAACTGCTGCAAACAACTTGCCGCCCTGGTGCATCATAATAATAATTGTTTGGTTTGAAATTAATTACACTTTCGGCAACCCACACATCACGTTCCGCGCATTGTAGATTTGCCAAATGTCACCCAAAGGTATTTCATTTATGCCTTTATTAATTATTTGCAAAACTAATTACACCGGCAATTATGCGTTTGCATAGAAAGAAATAATAAAATCTGTTAAATTAATTTTGTATCGTAGGACAGAGCTAATATAAATAACATAAACTAATTTTAAACAACACACAGAAAAAAATACAACTTTCCCATTTTTTGTATAAAAAAATGTTTATAAAATGTATTAGCATTCTTTAAATTTTAAGTCATATATTGCTCAATTTATATTTTTTTTTAACTGGCCCATTTAGTAAATAATTTGTTTTTTAATCTTACAGCTTTTTTTCAGTATTTATTAATTCAACTTAATTAATGACCAACTATTTGCTGTGTACAAAAAACAGCTGATAAATATAAATAACTGTAATTTGAAAAAAATAACAAAAATAAATAAGATGTTTTTGTGGAGTGGACATTTTTGCATCCGCATTCGCATCCTTGCGTCCGGCTTTGCTCTTTTTTGGCCAAGTGCGCAATTTCCCGTTACAAACGCGTTTAGGCTGGAATTTCAATTATGCACAGGAATACCACTTCGCCGCCCCTTTCCCCTTGGCCACGCCCCCGCCGCGCTTCTTCTTCCTGTGTACTTCCTGCGCTTTGGCCGCAATTATGATGCGCCCGCTTAGATAGAAAACTCGCCCCAAAAATGAGATATGCCAGGCGTGCGCTGGAAAAACTCCTCTAAAATCTCCGTGATTATGTCCTTCCCCTTGCTTCTTTGCTTATAAGCAGCTCAATTCCTGCGAGTTACTAATAGGTGAAAAGCTAATAAACAAAGAACATATCGGAAAAAGTTACTACTCTTTTAATATTATTTCATTTTTTATCCCAGACTAGAGAATCATACGAAATGTAAAGGAATAAGTAACTCACAAGTAAGGCTAAAACCAAAGAAATTTAATAATATCCTTCCTATGTTTATCGCGTCCGGAAATTCACTCTTTTTATTTATTTAGTTTAATTTAATGGTTTTCTGAAAAACTTTGAATATATATATTTATTTCAAAATTTTCATTTAAATGCTAATGAATAGTCAAATAGTGGATTAACAAAATTATTTTAGCAAACATCCTCATTTCAAAGATTGTTTATTTTAGATTCCATTTAATATAGCTTAAATGGTAAAATCAAAATTTCAGAAAATAATTGTTCTATTGTTTTTATTAACTGAAAACTTTTCTACATACTTATAACGTGGAAACTTCTCCACACATTTGCGTATAATGAACATATATCACAGACATAACCCGACGACCTTGCCATTTTGGCCGTGCAAATTGCTCGTCTTCCGCCGACAGTGCACACGACCCACCTGATGGCCATGCATCTCGTTTCCGTTTCCGGCGTGCCTCTAATTAAGTGTCAGTCGTCCGTGTCCTCCAGTTGCCCCCCTTCCTCCCCCTCCATTCTACACGCCCCCATTTAATATTCACTCTTTTGTGAGATTATTGGGTTTCCTCACACGCCAATTTTCTTCGCTTTTTTGCATTTTTTGCTAAATCACGAACAACGTCCCCATTCAGAGTTAATCAATCATGCACATCCTGCATAATTTGACTTCCTAAAGGAGACTTTCAGGTGTCTGCCAGCTGGGGACCCCATTTCATCTTTCTATCTGTCCCCCATCCTTCTTTCAAGTGGAAACAATGATGGATACTCTGCTCGGTTGTTGTTCCTGTCCCATGCTAATGAAACAATTTTCGATTTCGCCTGGTCAATGGGGTCCCCTTGCATCCCCTCTTAATATTTATGCACTCAAGAAAACATCATAAATATGGTAAATTTTCTTTTGTTTCCTCTTTTAAAGCCACCTTTTATTGAAAAATATTCATGTTTTTAATTTGTACATGAAGGAAAATGTTCTGGGATCTAAAGTAAATTTTTTTTTTTTAAAGTTAAGAAAAAGTTTAATAATAACTTTTTATTTTCAATTCATTTTAAAATAAATATTTGTACTAGTAACAAATTATTTATTATAAATTACAACTTATTTGTCGGCCAACTTGTTTTTTTAATTTTTATTTAAATATTTTTACAGGTAACAAAATATTTATTACAAATTACATGTTATTTGTCGAAAAATTTTTATTCAATTTGAAGTTTAAATCATTGTAATACTCTTATTAATACTATAAATATTAATTAATAATATTTAATCGTAAAGTATTGTATAAAACCTGCAACACAAATAAAATTTTATTAAATAAAATTAAAAATATAGATATTTTTCTCTGTGCACAAACTTTGAGCTGGCAGGCTATCAAGTGCACGACCACACGACAATCAACTGGCTGAGTTAAGTTTAAGTTCTGCCGTTGCCGTTGCTGCTCCTCCTGTTTTATCATCATCTTCTCCATCAAAATAGTAACCGGGAAACATAACAACAGAAACACCATCAAGAACTTCAACATAAATTCATTAGTCACGAGTCAAAGTGTTTGGCGAAGGAAGAGAAGGAGATCTTCTTCCGCCAGTTTAAGTGCCCACCGAAATTTATGACGTCACTTTTAGTTGCCACCTCCAGTTTATGGATGCTGAAGACGCTGAAGAATGCCAACCGCAGTCTTGGCAAAACTTTATTACAGATTTTTTAACGAGCTTGTTGGAAAAGGCCACACGAAAAGCTTATAAGGCGAAGAGAATTAAGTTGAGCGATATGAAAGTGGGCTAAACCAAATGCGAAAGATTCGTCTGATTTAAAATTTGAGTCCAGAGGACTTTTATTCGATTTTTTTCAAGAGAATTTTTTAAATTTTAGTTAAAAACCCGAAAAAATTTCTGAATTTTATTTACAGGACAAACTCAACACCCAGTGTTAAAGGACCCACTTTTCCCACACTTATAGTTCCCTAAGATGGACAAGTAAATCGCAGGAAAGGACAGCTTGCCTTAGGGATATCCTTCGAATCGTCGCCCACAAAACACACATATTCGAACGAGGTGGAAACCGTTTTGGCATTATAAAGTGGGAACATTATGTGCTGGTTTTGTCTTTTTACGACTCGGATGTGAACGATTATGGGTGCGGAGGTGTTAACCCATTCTCCTTGGCAAGGGTAACATCTCCATCGTACCGAAAATGCAATATCTATATGCACAAACACACGGCGACGCAGAGGGAGCCGAAGCAGATGCCATATCTTGTCAGATTTGCATGGCGGAGGTGAACATGACAGGCCCAACGTCGAAGCCTGCAGGACGTGCCAAGGATAACGCCATCCCGCACACATATCCGCTCACCCAAATACAGACGACTACTCGCAGAGTTCGTAACTCAGCTTGACACTGCGGCTAAACAGAGAAAAATAATAAAATAATAATAATAAGTATTAACTTGTTATTAAAAAAATATATCTATATATTTATAAAGTCTGTTAATATAATAGGTCATACCTATAAACTTAAATAAGAGATGATAAAATAATTTAGATTCATAAATAATATCATTGGACTTTAACGTGCCTAAAAATATATATCTATATATTTAAATAAGTATATATATCTATATATTTTTTAAGTCTGTTATTATAATAGGTAATACCAATAAATTTAAATTAGGGATGATAAAAGTTAAAATGGTACCAAAAATAAAATGGTTAATAAATTTAAATATTTAATTAAACATAAGGTTTCATTTTACAATTTATAAAATACTAATATATATTTCAATTATTATTATTTTATTAAAGTTTCG